GAGGGAGGGAGGGAGAGAGAGATCTTAGCATTCCTAAAGAAAGTCACCCTCTACATTCACCAACAGGGTTCCCCACTGGAGCAATCTATAGAAGCTCATTATAAAGCTGCATAAGAAAGAGACATTCTGTGCTATACAATCATATATATGCAGTCATCTCCAGTCACTCATGAAATTTTTAAAGCTTGCCCTGGGAATAAATGACAATAGCATTCTTCCTTTCTAATCTAGAAACTTCTCCCTCATGAAAGTCTCCTCCAAACCCAAATGGTCAGGAAATGAAAAGAATTATTAAATAGGGCATACTCCATTCCAAGCAATCTCAGGCCTGCTTTTCAGATGCTAATACAGCAGCAGCCACCAGGAACCCTTTTCCCAAGTGGAAGGAGACAGAAGTTTCTGAAACCATGCTCCTTGTACTTGAAACCTGGCTGTGCCACTTTCCAAATGTGCGACCATGGAAAATCTCCTTCATTGCTCTCTGCCTTGGTTTTTTCCACATTTAAATTTAGGTGATAAGAATGCTGCCTCATTTTCCTGATGACTGAGAAAAAATTTTTTTTCTTCCACCAGGGATCAAACTTGGGACCTTGGGCTTGCCAGGCAGGCAGCGGCACCACTGAGCTAAATCCCCAGCAAGAAAAAAAAAATTTTAACACAATGCCTGGCCCAACATGAGTGCCCAATACCATAAGAGACAGTAATACAAATTATTATTACACAGATGAGTATCCCTCATGCAAAACACTTGGGACCAGAAGCATTTGAGATGTTGGACTTCTTAGATGTGTGAAAATAAATAAATATATATATTATATATATATATATATACACACACACATATATGGCATGAAGTATCGTAAAATGCATCCAAATCTAAACGTGTTCATTTTTCATTTATACATAGCCTCAAGGCCACTTTATACAATATTTTAATAAAATAACAAAGTTTCATGGCAATCGAATTTTCTATTTGTATTATCAGGTCTGCCTCGACAAACATTTTGATTTTTGAGCACTTTGGATTTGACGTGAAGGATCCCGAGCCTGCATTGCATAACAATATATTAGCATTAGTGGACATTTTACTTCCCTCCCTTGATATGCACAAGGGATCCCATGCCCCACACATTCCCTTAAACTCTAAACGGTAGTAGTTCTCAAACTTTTGCATGCACCACCATCATCTGAGTTGCTTAAAACATACTTCTGTGCTTCAGATGCAGAGCTGCTGATGCAGGGGGCTGGGGACAGGTGTGTCTAACAAGTTAATGTCAATGTAGGAGCTGCTGATCTGGAAGGACAGAGAAACACTTAGGGATGTCACCCCATCAGTGGAGAGCAGGTTTTAGCTGCAAATCTGCAGGCCTTTCTATGGCCCTCTGCCCTCCTAGAATCCGCTTTGCAGACTGCATCTAAGAAATTTCATCAATGGCTCAAATTGAGGTCAAGCATCAGAAGCTATACAAGCTGCCATGTCACCTCTATACCAGCACCTAAAACAATACACAGTGAACCAGGAAACCAATTCCAGGAGATCAGGATCTCCTGGGAGTTTACTTCATACTTGAGACATGGAAGATCTTCAATAAACAGTGACTGATAAAGAGAAACTTGGGAGAGCCAAGGGCCAAAGACACACCTGGGAAACCAACCAATCTAGAAGTTCTCAGATTAAAATCAAGCTGTTCACTGGACATGTTTACCTGGAATCTCTGTTGATCCAGGGATGTCTGCCACCCCATCCAGCCATTGATTCTCCTCTATGAATTCACAAGTCCTTTGCCACCAGCCACACTTTCCCTCTCACTCTGAAGTAAGGAAGCTTCAGCTTTAAGCTTCTCACCAGCAAGGCCCCCCCACGGGTAGCACAGGCTGCTGGTAGTGCTAAGTATTCTCAGGAGAGGGGAAGCCAGGTTGCAAACAGGAAGCACATCTATATAAACATTGCTCGGAAATTGCCCAATAAAATTGCCAGTTAAAAATGACACATTTCCCATAAGTTATCTCTTTTGTCCTTCTAAATATGAAATTTTATGCCCAATTTTGTATAAATTGTCTTAAAAAGGTCCTCAAGTTGTTACCTTTCAGTGTTCACAAAATGTGCAAATGCTTCTGCTCCTTGACCATTTGGATTTTCTGAAAGTTTCCAAATTTATCACCTACACACTCCCCAATAGAACACTTTAGCCAACACTTTCATAAACACCTCCTACAGAGGATTTTGCCTACTTTTAAGAAGGAATTCAAGACGTCTTGTGATTTTACTGCCAAATGAAGATAGAGAAAAAATTCAAGCCAGGCACAATCCAGGCAGAATATCCTATCTGATCCTCCTCACACAGGCAAACACCTTCTCTTAACAGTTAACTGGCAACATCTCAAAGTATCTTAAATATGAGCCCTTAGAGTTTTGTGTATAATTACCAACAATTACAAGGGAGATTTAGGAAAGCAAGTGTTCTCCATAACAGAAAATATCACTATATTCTAAATTCTAAAGTGCTTTTTTAAACTCTCATTTTGTGCAATACAGTAACTTTGAAAATCACTTCTGTAATTTACATGCACTTACAAAGTTGTCCTTTGAGTTGTTATGGATCAATTATTCAAAAGTCAAATTAGGAATTTTGAGATGCCTTGCCAAATCTGCCCATGGCAGTAATCTATACTTCCACAGATAGGCTTAAGGGAAAAGAGATTTTGTCTTTTAAAATAAATATTAGATACATTCAGGCATGAGTATAGTTTTATACACAAACACAAGGTCCTTTCTAAGTAGCAAGAGTGCTCTCTATTCAGATCTCAGCCATGGAAAAAAATCAAGTTAAAATGCATTAAAAACAGGTGAATATCATGAAAATTAGCTCTTCCTTCATAGTGTAACACAGAGAGAACATATATAGTTTTACTAATTGGCCCCATTTGGATCTGTTAGGCCATATTTGGTTTAAAACTGTTTTTAAACATTTAAAAATATGTTAAGACACATGATAAACTTAACTTTAAATAGATATTCATTGATGTGTCCCAGATAGATCATAGCAGAGCCACGTAAGTACAACGAAAACAGTGCTCATTTTATTCATGTCAGAGTAACCCCTAGGAGGTGGATTTTATGAATATAAATTTGAATTCTAATTTCCAGTAAATCTGCCAGATTTATCTGTCTGTATAGCAATGTAAAATATCAAAATAGTGTTCAAATACATTCATATTCAGTTTCTAGATCAACCACTTGCATTGTACAAATTACTGGGTTGCTCCCTGCCTCGGTTTCTCACCAGTACAGGGGAGTAATATCTAGTTTGTGTGTTTTATTCCACAAAATGAAAAATGGCTAGCGTTTCACTTGGCACATGATTTTTTCTTCTTTTTCTGCAGGATTGGGGATGGAGCTCAGGCCCTCACACGCACTAGGTAAATGCTCAACTACTGAACTTCATGGCTAGCCCCACAGTTGATTCCTAATGACTTTTAGGATGGTTTTGATAATGGTCACCATGGCTGACTGATCAGGCTAATGACAACCACTCTTGAAGGGTCTGCCTTCCCCTGCACTTAGATGCCAGTGATGGAAAGGTGCCTGCGCTCACATCAGATCCCACCTGTAAGGAATAAGTGCCCTCAAATGCCTCTTTGTGTCAACACCTGTGCTACCAAAGACAGCAGCAGCCAAGCTCCAGCAGAAGCTTGTTTTGGGGAGGAATACAACAAACAGTTGTTTAATTAAAATGCCGCTGACCTGACCAGAAAAAAACAAAAAACACAAAAAAAAACAACAACAACAAAACCAGTTTATGGAAAACATAGTCCATAGAAATCCCTCAATAAATAGCGATGAAATTCTGCATGTTTGAAACTGGTAAAGCCCCGGAGTCTCTGAGAAGCTGCCTGCACCAGTACGTGTCCCCATGCCGATGGCACTTCCAGAGTGCTCTCCTGTCGACATCTAGAGGCTTCTGAAACCCCCAACACCCGCAGGTCATGCAGACCAGGAAAAAAGAAGTCTCTGCAAATGCAATCATTTTAAAGTCCGCAGAGCACAATTTGAATGTGACTGCGCGACTCCAATCTACAAACTTACTCTAAGGCGCTCTGCTGTCCTGTAACTGAGCAAATGCAGAGCAGGGAACCAGAGCTGAACCTCCTATCTCCAGGAAGAGAGCTCATCAGAGGGACAGACGAGGGATGGACGTCTGCAGGAAGCGTCCCGGCAGCGGCAGCGAGGTGACTATCTGCAGTGCGCCCGGGATGTCTGACCCTGGGCCTTTAAAACGCAAAGAAATCCGGGAGCAGGCTGCTGGCCCCCGCCCTCCCCGCCCAGACTTCTGCTTCCGGTCCACCAGACACCTCTCTGACCCCTGAACCAGTGGCCACGGGGTAGCGACTCCCCCGAATTTCCATCCTGCTCGCCCCACTCGGACTGACAGCTGACACCCACCCCGGTGATCCGGATCCGCCCTCACCTGTCCAGGCCGCGTCCCGGGACCGCAGAGTCGGCGGGTGCTCGCCTTTCACCCTCGCGGGACCAGCCGTGGCCCTGGCGTCGCCGTCGTCGCTGCCCCGGAGCGTGGAGCAGCCTGCCGCGTGGGGCGGGGGCATCACCGGGCCACGGACTTCCTCGCCTCCCCGGGAGCCCCGCCTTCAGGGGGAGGAGGCGGCGCGCGTCACAGCGGAGCTCGCCAGGTGCTCGGAGAAGGCGCCGGACGGGTGCAGGGCGCTGGCTGGGACAGGTTCTCAGTCACTCATCTGCCTCGGCCCACAGGAAGAGGAAGGTGTGTCCCAAAAGTCCCCAGGAGCGAAAGCCACCCTCGTCCTCTTTTAATAACCCTTGCTGCCCCACAGCCGGAAGAGTTCACTTTGCTCCAGTAGCTCCCTAAAAGATCTAGAGGCGGAGAGCAGGCTCTCTTTCTACCGCCGCAACCCCGGGAAGAGGTACCCAAGCTAGGCAGCCGATGCCACCAGTGCCACGTTAGCGCGATCGCGCGTGGAAGCCAGCCCCCCAGGGCGCGGAGATCGGCTTTCTGAGCCAGGTGTCTGCAGGGTTAAGCCCGGCGGGGAGGCCGGGCAGCTGCCCTGAGGGTAAATCCCCTACAGGTGGCTTCCTGCAGTCATTGTCCCTAGGGTGCTTAACAAATATTTGCCTTTTGCTTCTTTCCCAAGCATTCTTTTTCTTCCTCTTTTTCTTCCCACTGTGATCCTACTTCAATTTGTGCTCCTTCTGGTCGGCTTCTTTTTTCACCTATTGATGAGCCTGGGTCTCACAGGCGTAATAACTGCTGTGCCAGGCTCTGGGTGGCTTAGAAGGACACGTGTGGGACACAGCCCTGCGACAGCAGTCTGAAATTAGATACAAGAGTTACAGAAATAGGCTAAATCAGGTGTGAGAGAGACCTGGCTTGATTGTGTAGGTTGTTCTGGGAATGGGAGGTGTGTAAACCGAGGAGTTCAATTGTGTCATTGATGATTAAGATCATTGGCTCTGGAGTCAGAAAGACCTCAAATCAAATCCTGGCAGAGCAACTAATGTGTAAATGGGGGAGTTCACCCTACCATTCCGAATCGCAACTTCCCCTTTGATAAATTGGAATTTAAATATAGCTATCTCATCTAATCTGAGAAATTATGAAGCCAAGCCGGGGATTTACCTCAGTGGTTTCGGCGCCTGCTGCGCAAGCGCAAGGACCCGAGTTCGATCCCTGGTACCAAAAAAAGAAAGAAAGAAAGAGAGAAAGAGAGAAAGAAAAAGAAAGAAAGAGAAAGAAAGAAAGAAATTATGAAGCCAATTCTCTGGCGCATGAAAACCACTTCATAAAGTTCATATGATTATACATGCTAAGGTGGGAAACCAGGAGGTGTAAACACTTAGAAAACATGATCATCTCGAAGGAAATGATAGAAAACAGATACACTGTCATTAAAACCACTTATAATAATAGCTGCTGCTGAGGAGGACAACACTGCACCAGTCTTGCTTGGCATGTTACAAGTTGGTATGTACCGCACGGTCCTATGTAGTTTTCAGGAACCGCTGAGACAGTGAAGAATATCCCTGAAGGTATGGATCCAGTTTGTGACAGTGAGATCAAGCTGAGGCCTATGGCTCATCTGGGCTGCTTCCACTGTGCTGAAGGTTAGGTCTCCTGCCAAAGGGCGGGGACAAGAGGGGAAGTAGGGTAAAAGGAAGAAGAGAAAGAGCAATCCGTGGAAATAGCAACTGCACCTTTAAAGCTGACTAAGAATACAAATGAATTAAAATAGTAAGTGAACCCACACAAAAAGCTTTTTGCCTCTAACTCTTACCCCAGTGCAGTTCCTGTTCTGTGGTTCCGGCCGCTCCACCGCAAGTTGAAAATGACTCCCACCCTTCTTCCATCATTAAAAGCTAGAGAAAGTGAAACCTTTGAAGACGCTGACGTCTGAGGTGATGGGTGCCTCCTCCCTCCGGCCACCTTGCATTCCTCCGCCTGGCTTCTTTGGGTTGTTTTGTTGTTTTGTTTCTGCCTTTTAACTGTCCAAACATATTTCACCCAGGGAATGATATTGTTCCCTTTACCAATTGAGCTTTGCTACATAACCACAGCAGCACTTAGAATAGCAGGAGGACTCATATGTGGCCGATAAATTTTTAATGCAGCATCGCTATATTGAAATTCTTAAGTTAAACAAGTTTTGAACCAAGTCTCCTGCTTTGAGCACAGCTCAATGTCATAACTGCTACTTTAAAAAATAAAATGCTCTCTCTTATGGCTGGGGATGCAGCTCAGTGGTGCTGCACCTGCCTGCCAAGTGCAAGGTCCTAAATTCGATTCCCCTCACCAGAAAAAAAAAAAACAAACACTTGATATTTGACCTCTCAAGAAACAGCACATCATGAAGCTACACAAACATATGGAGATTAAATAAGCCATTATTGAATAATGAATGGAGCACAGAAGATATCAGAAAAGAAATTAAAATAGTTCCTAGAATCAAATTACAATGGAAGTGCAACATACCAAAACCATGAGACACAAGAAAAGCAGTTCTAAGAGGGAAATGAATTTATAGCTGTAAATAAATGCACACACACAAAAAAATAGAGCAATCCCAAGTAACCTAATGATGCATCTCAAGGTCTTAGACAAGAACAATCCAAATCTGAAACTAACAGAAGGAAAGCAATTATAAAGATCAGAGCAGAAATTAATGAAATTGAGACCAAAATATAGAAAAGATCAATGAGTCAGAGTTGATTCTTTGAAAGGATAGGACGAAACACGAGGGAGGGTAGGAGAAAGGGAAATAAAAATGATCAAGATGCTATACATACCAATTGGGTATGATGAATGTATTTGCTATGTATCATAAACATATACTAATAAAAATTAGCAGGAAAAAGAAACAGCCCTGGTGTCAGTGTGATAGCCAAAGTGAAGATTTCCCATTTTCAGATCTCATTGCTTTTACATCTTAGACAATGAATGCTTGATTGTGTGACAATCCAATAATACTACCTGTTCTTTCATGTTTTAAATGGCAGGCGTGTCCTCTGCTGTTCCCACATAGTCTTATGCTATCACCTGTCCATTCCCTATCATTCAGAAACACTGCAGTGGAGTTATATTAGTAATGTCACCGTGCCTGATTGTATGAGCTAGGAGGGCCATTTAAATGGGACAAGTTACAGTGGCTGCAGTCACCCATAATCTGTGACAATGGACTAGAGGAGTATTCTCTAAGGAAGAGAACACTTGCTCTGCAAATATGTGGGAGCTAGAGTTCTGACTCCTTTCTGCTCAAAGGGACTCACAACAGGCCTCCTGGGCTCATCCTACCAGAGCCCAGCCTGCAGCTTACACAGCCCAGCTCCCATTGGAGGAATCAGGGCCACTCCGGTGAGTACAATCCCTTCAATAAATGCCCAGGCTTTGCCAGCAATGCCAACAGTGGCAGAAGGAATTGGTAACTAGCATCCTTCACATTCTTTTTCACTGGTGCTTCTCATCACATTTGGGCCAGTAAAAACAAAAGTAGAAAAGCAACAGGAACAACAACATGCAGAATAGATCCACCAGCAGGTGAAATGAATGCAATGGTTAAGGTAAATTTTGTTCTCTTGTCCAAGGGGCAGATGTAGCATATGCTATAAGGAAGTGTGTGCACTTTGTTACATGGTATTGAAAAATGCCATTCTTCTTATCGTCAGTGCAAATAGTCTTTGTTATTCTATTTACTCAGCATTTATTGTTTCTTGTGTAATTTTCATGTCATCTCCTTTATATAGTTGCAGGTGTGGAGATCAAATTTAGTGGCTCACTCTAGTCCTAGCTCTGTCACTTGCTAGCTTAGTATTTTTCTGCAGGTTTGGCTTTTCCTTCACAAGGGGGTGACTCTCAGAGAAAATACATCTTCTAATTATCCAGAAAGAAGCCTTATTATAAAATCTTTCTTTGGAAATAAACATCAGCATTAGCTCTCTTACCAATTCGATGTAGCAAGTTATTTCATGTTAAGTAGACATGTACTTAACACCAGCTGATTAGCTCAAAATTCTCACAAGGTAGTAAGTTACTCAAAGTTAGTCCATTATATTACACTGGAGGAGAACTTTTATGGTCAAGATGAACATCTTGTACTGGTTGCTTTAAAAAGGTTAAAACTATTAGAAACATAGAAGACACATGTTAAAAGATTTAGCCCCCCATTCATCAGAAGCAAACTTACTTTTTCAGGTCTAGATTAGCCTTGTCCAGGACAACTCTGTCCTCACCAGCGTTTTGATGTCTGATGACTGGAATTCTATCCAGTCACTTAATTGCTTCTACCTTCTCCCAGGCCAGGAGAGTTTCATGCTACAGTATGCAGAATTGCTGTGGCCCAGTTCCACTTTAATGAATGCTGGGTGCTCTGTTACATTGCCATTGGCAGGAGCAAGGGACATCTGAAGAATCAACTTTGAGAAATTGGTTGTGGAATTGCATTTGGACTCTTGGACAGGGTCATTGTTTTTAAAATTGCAGTGCTTGTTTTAAGATAGTCCCAAATAAAAATTGTCACTTCTAAAGAGACATCTTAGGCTTTCCCACAGTAACTGGTTTGCTGTTCTGCAGATAATACAATGGAATTTGTTTTCCTCTTCATTTGTACCACTAGAATGCCCAGACTGGCCCACTTCTGGCAAACATTTTGAAGTGCTTACTTTTACATTCCACATTGGGTCTATAGTTATCTACCTTTATTTTCCTAAATCTGAGAAATAAATCCAGGGGAATTTTTGGGATAGGATTATTAGAGTAATAGTCATATTCCCATGCAATAAGCAGTGCATTCATTGACATATTCATTCACAAAACTAACATTTGTTCAGCAGCAACAACCAGAACCACAAGCCAAGGTGCCTACAAGGGCCTAGTTGGTGAAATAAATGTTCAGCTGTGCTCATATACCTATGAAAAGGTAAAGACTTACACACAGCCAAGGACATGTTCACCTAAAGACATTCATATATTTTTAAAGCTGCACTCATGGCCAAACAAGGTGAATAATTTGCATCCCCTGACCAACAAGGCCCTGAGCATTATGATCAGTGCTATGGATATAAAATACTACCTGACAGTTTCTGCTCATCGATGCCCTACAGTTTGGATAGGAGGAAGGTATATAAACAAGCATACAGAGAGTCAGAGAGAAGAAGCTCTGACATGAGCCCTAGCCAAGTCCGGCAAGTAAGGGCACAAGGTCCAGGGCAAAAGATCAGGTTGTAAATACACAAGGAGAGAGCAGGGACTGTAACCTCAGGCCAGTGCTGAAGAAAAAGGACTTCATGGATGAGATCAAGCCCACACCACTAGGATGTGCAGGGACTCAACTAGCAGGTGAAAATCAGTTCAGGGAATGAAGCCAGACCTGTCTAGCAATATATCCATCATTATTTACTCAATTCATCAGAAAATGTACACAAGGAGAAATAATAACTACACTTAGAGTTAGAACATTAACAAATCTGGGGACTTGACATCTTCAGTCTACCTCTGTGGGTGTGTGGGACATATAATTTCTATACATTTTAATTCTCCCAGCCTCCAATTACTGGCTGTAATAATGACCTACAAAAACAGTATAGAATCACTAATGAGTGATTGCAAAGTAGTCAGAAAAAGATGAAGCCTTATTAAGTGCATAATGACAATATTTTCAAGCTACCTTGGTACACAATTATCTGCTTTAATGATTTTTAGGTAC